TTTATCTGGTGCTTTAAGACAGAGAGAGAAAGTGAATTTAAATGCAAGCAAATGGGACATTAATAATCCCAAGAGAGTTCCTGCAGCTCCTTATATATTCAGCCGCTTTTCCTGTCATGGCAGCAACAAAACGCATATATGCGGCATGCTTTGAACGACGAGACACTAAAAGCTCAATGCGTCTGAAAAGCTGTTCTCTGTTGACTGAACACAACATTCCTGCACAGAGACCAGAGTTTCATCAACATGAAGGTAGGATTGAGAAATTTTTAACAGGCCGGGGTGAGTGGGACAAATCCTTGGGAGAGAAAGATGAAAGGGAAGCCCCATCCAGATTGAACTGTCCCAATGAATAAGGGGTCAAGGCTCCTTCTGCATCTTTAACAGTTGCAAGGAAGACAGAATTTCGGGATGCCTCCTGGATTCAAGGAAATCAATGCATGCTGAAATTCCCACTTCTACGTAACTGCAAAAGGTGTTCTCTTTTGCATCGTGCCACTCTTAATAAAGATGGTTCCCCATTTCAAGAGCACAAACCTATGTGGCATAATGGCTAGAGCATTAGACTATGACCCGGGAGACCAGGGTTCGAATCCCCACTCAATTGTGAAGCTCACTGGGTGACCTTGGGCCAGTTACTGTTTTTTAGCCTGTCCTAAGCGGCTTAGTCATGCTGGCCACATGACCTGGAAGCTGTACGCCAGCTCCCTCTGCCAGTAAAGCAAGATGAGCACCACAACTCCAGAGTCGTCCGCGACTGGACCAAATGGTCAGGGGTCCCTTCACCTTTACCTTTGTGGGATGCGGGTGGCGCTGCGGGTTAAACCACAGAGCCTAGGGCTTGCCGATAAGAAGGTTGGCAGTTTGAATCCCTGCGATGGGGTGAGCTCCCGTTGCTCGGTCCCTGCTCCTGCCAACCTAGCAGTTCGAAAGCACGTCAAAGTGCAAGTAGATAAATAGGTACCGGCTCTGGCGGGAAGGTAAATGGCATTTCCGTGCGCTGCTCTGGTTCGCCAGAAGCGGCTTAGTCAAGCTGGCCACATGACCAGCTGTACGCTGGCTCCCTCGGCCAGTAAAGCAAGATGAGCGCCGCAACCCCAGAGTCATCCGCGACTGGACCTAATGGTCAGGGGTCCCTTCACCTTTACCTTTACCTCCACAGGGTTGTTGTGAGGATGAAAAGGGAAGAGGAGACGCATGGAAATCGTCTTGAGCTCCTTGGAAGATAAAAGGTGGTATATAAATGCAACAAAAAATAAAAAATAAATAAAAGATATCCCACTGAATCCAATGGGGCTGACTTCCTGGTAAAGTGTGAGCAGGATTGCAGGGCCATTGTTCAGTGATAGAGCATCTGCTTTCATTGTTCAGTCCATCTGCTTTCCATGTGGCTCATTCCAGGTTTAATCGCTGACATGCCCAAGTAGGGCTGGGAATAGCTCCTGTCTGAAACTCCAAAACTCTGCCAGTCCGTGTAGACAATACTGAGCTAGATGGTTTGACTCCGTAGAAGTCGGCAATGCCTGCTGGCCCTCGCTAATGGAGGGAAAAGGATAGGAAAAGAGCAGCGATTCCTAAAACCCGGAGAGAGTTGTCAGTTTGACATTGAGAATTACAAGATTCTCGTGAGCCCAGCTGTACAGCACATTGCCTGCTCTCTCTAGATTCCAGGGCTCCTGACTTCGCTCTCATCTAGTTAGCCGTGACATGCAGTGGGCATTTTCTGCCCATCCAAGAATCAGATACACCCCTTCCAAAAGTACAACTAATGGATTTGTTGTTGTTGTTGATTGCGGTGCAAACCGCTTGGTGACGATCTGCAGTGAAAAGCAGTCTATAAATACAGGAAGTTTTAATATGGCAAGAGCCATACCAACTTTAGCAACAAAAGAGGGGGGGTGCATGTGGGAATGAAGACATGAACGCAACGTGAGAGTGAAAAGCCACGGATGAACCAGGCAAACAAGAGTGCTCTGGGCAAAATTAAGAAGTTTAACAACGCCAGCATACGAGAATTCCTACGGCACAAGTTCTGTTTCAAGGACAGGGCTGGGTACTCTGGAGAGCCAAAATCTGGGGAGGAATTTGAATGAGAAGTCTGGGCACCAAGGAAGATCTCAACAAGCTGGAACATGGGCAGAGGTGGGTGACCAAGCTGGACAATGGTCTGGAAACAAAGCCTTTTGAGAAAGTTGTGTATGTTTAGCAGAGGAGCCCAAGAGGTGATGTAATAGCCCTCTTCAAATATCTAAAGGGCTGGCATGTGGGTGACGGACCAAGCTTGTTTTCTGCTGCTCCAGAGGGTAGGACTTGAACCCATGGCCTCAAACTTTATAGCTGGAAAGGAGATTCCGACTAAACATTAGGAAGAACAGTGGAACAGACCACCTCTGAGGTTGGTGAACTCTTCTTCATCAGTGGTTTTTAAACAGAGGCCGGATGGCCATCTGTCAGGGACACTCTAGTTGTGATTCCTGTACTGCAAGGGGTTGGACTAAGTGGCCCTTAGGGATACCTTTCAACTCTACAACTCTCTGGGAAGCATCCTTAAATGGGGTAGGGCAAACTACTCCGACGTGGATAGTTCTTCCTTTTCCACAATGTGTATACATTTCCTTTTTATGTCGCCCAGCTGATGGCAGTGATGGAGCACCTAATAAAAATAGCAAGTAAACAATAAAATAAATAAATAGGTATGTATGCATGTAGTTGTTGTTTTTTAAATGGAGTGGCTCCAAATTTAATTTCAGGGAGAAGGAGCAGGCCTCAGACGCTTCTGAAATGGAGGGCTAGAGTTTGGAACTCAGCATAAAAAGCAACCCAGCTCTATTTACAAAGCACGTGTGATTGATGAATCGAGAGGCTTCCTGCTCAAACTTGGTATAGGGCATAAACTGTTTCCATTAAAATAAAATAAAAAATAACAGAGTGGAATGACCAGCGCTGGCATTAGCTAACCACTAGGAGTCTTGGTTCAGGTCCAGAAATAAAGACCATTATATAACTGCCCTTCCCCAAAAATCTCTCTTTCTCTGTCTCATTCTCATGTCAGAGTTGAAGGTCAAACGACAAACATTATCTTTGCAGATTTCCCATCCAGAGAGTCTGTATTTAGCATCGTTATGTTAATAGCATTTAACCAGAAGTCATTATGTTAATGCCAGTGGGTTTTTTAAAAAAGATAACAATAATAAATATAAATAAAAAGCCTGCTCCCAAGAGACATTTGCAAGGCAACACATGGGGAAAAAATGAAAATCAGATCACAAGGGTGACTTAGAATTCACGACCCTGGAGAAAACTATTGTGGGAAGAATTCCCTCTGACTTGACTTTCTGAATTCTCAGAGGACAGGGAGGGCTGGTCCACGCTGACAGCAGAAGTAGACCGTCCGGATCAAGGGAAGTAATAGTACCACTCCATTCTACCAGACCACGCCTGGAGTCCTGTGTCCAGTTCTGGGCACCACAATTTAAGAAGAGTATTAACAAGGTGGAACATGTGTAGAGGAAGGTGACCAAGGTGATCAAGGGCCTGGAAATCAAGCCTAAAGAGGAATAGAAGGAGAAGAAGAGTTTGGATTTGATATCCCGCTTTATCACTACCTTAAGGAGTCTCAAAGCTGCTAGCAATCTCCTTTCCCTTCCTCCCCCACAACAAACACTCTGTGAGGTGAGTGGGGCTGAGAGATTTCAGAGAAGTGTGACTAGCCCAAGGTCACCCAGCAGCTGCATGTGGAGGAGCGGGGAAGTGAACCCGGTTCACCAGATTATGAGTCCACTGCTCTTAACCACTACACCACACTGGCTCTTGAAGGAATTGGGTATGTTTAGCCACAATGACTATGCTCTGCCACCAGAGTCAGAGGCAGCAACGCTTCTGAATACCAATTGCTGGAAACCACAAGAGGGGAGCGTGCTGTTATGCTTGAATCCTGCTTTTTGGCTTCCCACTGGCATCTGGTTGGCCACTATGAAAACAGGATGCTGATGGGCTGTTCTAGCTTGATCCAGCAGGGGCTCCTTGATATTTAGATGTAGGGTTCTGAAGTACATGGTCCTTTGATCTGATCTGACAGGGCTCCTCTTAAAAATAACCAACAGGTCAAGAAATTTAGTTTTCTCTCCACCCCACTCCAGCCCTATGTAGCACAGTCCACTTCTGAAAAAGACAAAAATCCTCAAAGGGAGTTATTAACACGGATCATTCTGCAGAAAGCAAATCCAGCAAACAAGATTATCTCTAATGAGCTTATCCGCCAGGAGAAAATAAAATAAAAAATAAATTACCAGAGCTGTGGCGAGAGGTACATTTAGAAGGTAATTAAGAAGGCGAAAAAGCAGATGTGGAAAAGGATGCCCTGGACTGGGCGTATGTGCGTGTTTGGGGAGGTGGTGATTACATCAGCTCTCCCTCTTATTCTCAAGGAAGAAAAATGGAAATATTTTGTTAATGTGAGTCTCCAAAAACTCTGCTGTCTATTATCATTAACGCTTAAAGCAAGGTCTTTTTTTTAAAAAAAAAAAAAGGTTGATAACCATTAAAAATCCATGCACTAGATCAAAGCACAGATACTTATAAGCTGGCTTGCTGCCTGCGGTGCGTAAGAATCACTGCCAGATGGACTGGCTGAGTAGTTTTTCAAAAGCTGGCTGTTCTCATAGGCAGTCAGTGAGCCAGAAGGCCATGTGGACAGGTAGACCTGGCTATTTATTTCTCTCTCCTCTGGACTCTTGGGGGCACACATGCTCTCCCTCTCTCAATACTATCTTCACAACAACCCTGTGGGGTAAATTAAACTGAAGGGCAGTGACTGGCTCAAGGTCAATCGGTGAGAGCTACGTGGCCAAGTAGTGGGTTGAACCCGGGTCTCCCCAGCTTCTTCTTTTTTAAAAAATAATAATAATAAAATTTACCGTATTTTTCGCTCTATAAGACGCACCAGACCACAAGACGCACCTAGTTTTTGGAGGAGGAAAACAAGAAAAAAAATATTCTGAATCCCAGAAGCCAGAACAGCAAGAGGGATCGCTGCTTTCACTGCGCAGCGATCCCTCTTGCTGTTCTGGCTTCTGGGATAGCTGCACAGCCTGCATTCGCTCCATAAGACGCACACACATTTCCCCTTACTTTTTAGGAGGGAAAAAGTGTGTCTTATAGAGCGAAAAATACGGTATTTGGCTTTTCAGATTAAAATTTTACAGTCACACATCCAACATAAAAACAAGATTCTAAAGAATTTCCGGAACTTCCCTCCTCGCCTTTGTGGGTCCCATTGTTAATCCTTTCCTCCTGCATCTTTTACGATAATCCAAATCTTTTACCTCTCTATTGTGTCCAAAATTCACCATTAAACTACAAGCGATATTCCAACCCTGCTAACGATTTTAATTGTTTGCAATGGTTTTTATAAGATCAGTTATAAATTTTCCTCATTCCTTATTAAAATTCTGGCCTTCCGGATTTCTGATTCTTCTGGTCATTTTAGCCATTTTGGCATAATCCATCAACTTGATCCGCCATTCTTCTCTGGTAGGGACTTTATCTTCTTTCCCAAGCTTCTAGTCCAACACCATAACCACGACACCACACTGGGGTATAAACGACAGCATTTATAAACTAATTTTTTTTTTTTAAAAAAAAGAATATAAAATTAATACAATTGTAGCGTTGGAAAGGTCCATATAGTTAAAGCTATGGTTTTCCCAGTAGTGATGTATGGAAGTGAGAGCTGGACAACAAAGAAGGCTGATCACCAAAGAATTGATGCTTTGAATTATGGTGCTGGAGGAGACTCTTGAGAGTCCCATGGACTGCAAGAAGATCAAACGTATCCATTCTTAAGGAAATCAGCCCTGAGTGCTCACTGGAAGGACAGATCGTGAAGCTGAGACTCCAATACTTTGGCCACCTCATGAGAAGAGAAGACTCCCTGGAAAAGACCCTGATGTTGGGAAAGATGGAGGGCACAAGGAGAAGGGGATGATGGAGGATGAGATGGTTGGACAGTGTTCTCGAAGCTACCGACATGAGTTTGACCAAACTGCGGGAGGCAGTGGAAGACAGGAGTGCCTGGCGTGCTCTGGTCCGTGGGGTCACGAAGAGTCGGACATGACTAAATGACTAAACAACAACAACAAAGAGTTGGAATGCATCCCAAGCGCTGTCTAGTCCAACCCCCTTACAAAGCATATAATATGCAATTATTATTATTATTTTTTAAAAAAACCAATGACAACAAAAAACCAAATTTGCATTTAAATACCTATTGATGACAAACGTCACTATTGCACCCTTGGGATTCCCTTGATGTCACAAGCCCTTCCCAGCCACAGCACCTCTCCTAAGGCCACACCCCTCACCAGCCTTGTTTTGCCTGCCCCTCGGGTGATTTTCCCTGGCTAGATTGTGTCCTTGCAGTCCGATAATGCTTCTTGCACAGAGAGCAGCATGTGTGGAAACTGGTCTACAAAGGTAGAATTTGAATGCGTTGCACCACCTGCTTCTGCGCCTGGCCCTGCCCATCCCACCATGAGGCCCCTGGAATATCTCCCCAATGGGAATGTGCAGCCCTTGGGTGGGAAGAGGGTTCCCCACCTCTGCAACATAGCTGGCCCTTTCCCTTACAGATGCGCTCTCTCTCTCTTCCTCGATCCCCTAGCCGAGCCATCCCTCAGGTAAGAGGAACTGACCTTGAACAAAACAGCTTTGTGAGGTTTGCCTGAAAAGTGGGACATAAGCACAATGAAGGAAGGAAGGAAAGGATGAATGAATGAGCCCTCTATCTTGGAACTGTTTCCTTCAGTCATAGGCTGCTCTGTTTTCTGCTGTGATTTTTCTGATGCCTGGATCTCTAGAATTGCTGGCAGGAATTAATATGCAGCTGTAGGAAGATCCTCGCAGCAATCTCCGGTGGTCATTGCCCCTACGGACAAAGCTTTGGCGGCGCCCTGTTTCTCTTGGCGCCTGATCAAGCACGGCTGCTCTCTCAGAGGAATTTTCCATGATCCGGCAGGCAAGAGGCTTTGAGGATAATCCAGCTCATTTTGGGAGCGGGGAGGAGAGGAAAAACCCGACGCATTCTGACCACCTTCTGCCAACATTGCCCCAGTTGCTAAGACGATGGAAGAGTCAAGCACACCTCCATCTACGGCATGCAAAGGTCTCCCTACGGAAAAGCCAGAGTCGCCTAAGCTAAGGTCCCAATCCTATGCACAGTTACTTAAGAAAAGCCTGGCTGGATCAGGCCAAGGGCTGTCAGCTGGAAGACGGAGCAAGCTTGTTTTCTGCTGCTCCAGAGGGTAAGACCTAAACCAACAGATTCACATGGCAAGGAAGAAGATTCCGACTAAACACCAGGAAGAACTTACCGACAGTAAGAACCGTCCACCAGTGGAAAAGACTCCCTGGGAAGATGGTGGACATCTGTCAGGGGTTCTTCAGCTGTGATTCCTGCACTGCAGAGGGTTGGACTAGATATCCCTTGGGGTTCTTTCCAATGCTACAATTCTATGCTTCTGAGGGCCCTACCTAGCTAAGCACTCCAGGGGCGTAGCAGGGGTTGCGATGTCCGGGGCAGGGCAAGTGTTTTTTATATATATAAAAAAACTTTTAATTGATTTTCTTTTTTCTCATTACAAATATACTTATAACATACAATCCACACAACATCTCTCCCTCCGCCCCTTTGGACTTCCCTCAACTTCCATTTCTGATTTATTGTCCTCATTATTATATTCTGCTATTTTCTACAAATAACATATTTTTCCTTTTATTACATTATCTGTTCCCCATCCATAAAGTTGTGAATGTTTATTTAAATTCTACCATCGGGTCAATACTCTTCCTTTGTTTCTGCAAATATAGTATAAAAGGTTCCCACTCTTTTTCAAAATCCCTATTGTCCTTTTCCGGGGCAGGGCAAGTGTTGAGCCTCCCCTTCCCCATAGACTGGGCAACAGTCAGTCCCTTTGCCAGCCAGCAAAGGGAATCTCCCCTTGAGGACTAGCCCCAACCTGGGAACAGAGCTAAGGCAGAGAAACATGAAGCCAGGAACACTGCTTTGCCGCCTTGCCCTCCTGTGCTTGCAGCGAGGCACTCTGGGCAGCGCACATGGCCCCAGCAGTGCTTCCTCGGCTTCCCCTCCCCCCTTGACGTGTGGTGGCGGCTCCCTCCCCCTTCCTCCCTCTTGGCCAGTTCAAGGATGGGGCGTGTTCAGCCATCCCTTCCTGACCACGAGGTGGAAGCGCCCCAGCCCTGAAGGCCCAACTCAGGGGCGGCTTCTCTCCCCTCAGCTCCAGTCTCAATGAGGGAACTTGTTGTGAGGGAACCTAGTTGCGCCCCCTCATAAATTTGCACCCAGGACCACTCCCCTCCCCGCTCCCCACACTATGCCACTGCAGCCCTCTATTCTCACAGTGGCCAAGAGGATGTTCATGGGCAGCCCATGACCAAAACCCAAGCACCCTTACTTAGGACAAGCCCCAACAAACAGAAGTCATCTCCACACCATAAATTCAAAACACTATGATATCTCTTTAAACAGTCATGTTGTTGTTGTTTAGTTGTGTCCAACTCTTCGTGACCCCATGGACCAGAGCACGCCAGGCACTCCTGTCTTCCACTGCCTCCCACAGTTTGGTCAAACTCATGCTGGTAGCTTCAACAACACTGCCCAACCAGTCGTCCCCTTCTCCTTGTGCCCTCAATCTTTCCCAACATCAGGGTCTTTTCCAGGGAGTCTTCTCTTCTCATGAGGTGGCCAAAGTATTGGAGCCTCAGCTTCACGATCCATCCTTCCAGTGAGCACTCAAGGCTGATTTCCTTAAGAATGGATATGTTTGATCTGCTTGCAGTCCATGGGACTCTCAAGAGTCTCCTCCAGCACCATAATTCAAAAGCATCAATTCTTTGGTGATCAGCCTTCTTTATGGTCTAGCTCTCACTTCCATACATCACTACTGGGAAAACCATAGCTTTAACTATACGGACCTTTGTTGGCAAGTCATGGCTTCCCCCAAAGAATCCTGGGAGCTGTAGTTTGTTAAGGGTTCTGGGGGGTGCTAGGAGTCCCCGTCCCCCTCTCAGAGCTACAATTCCCAGAATTCCTTGTGAAGAGGGATTGACCGTTTAGCCACTCTGGGAATTGTAGATCTGAGAGGGGGATGGGGATCTCCTCTCAGCACCTTAACAGACTGCAAAAAGTGGTCCCATTTGCCCAACAGTCTCTTTCAATACACTTTGCTCCTTCACACAAGTAAGGCATGTTGGGGGCTTACAGTCATTCTTTTTCTTTTTACAGCTCTAGCACAATGTCCTTCCCTAATTCTATTTATTCATTGAGTACGCTTGTATATTCCACTTTATAGCCCCAAGAGTCTCCCAAAGCAGCTTAGGAAAGACATACACACATTACAGGCTCTGTATTCTTTGTGGTGTGCTCAAAGCTGATTGTCATGCTGTCATACTGAAAATCTTTAAATACAAAATATCATCAGACGGAATGCAACCTCAAATTTACCCAGGGAGCATTTCCCCCCCTCATTCCTTATGTTATGTTCATGACAACCCCACCCAGGGGTGGGCCAATCTTTCACTTTCAGTTTTTCTCAATTTCCCCATCTTAAATTTATGCCTCCACATTCCCACATTAGTTTGCAATTGATTTATTTTAAAGAAGCCCCTGCTGAGTATTGACCAGAATTTTAGTGCTAATTTCTCCTAATACACACAATTTTGCAAACCAATTTCCCCATCTGTAATACATTTCGTACCCTATTTTCACCAATATATGCATTTTTCTGCACACTTTACCCTAGCCTGTGCATTTTTGTCCATGTTATTTGGTGGAGAATGCATTGCAAAAATCAGAAAGGTATGGATTTCAAAGGATGGTTCTGTTTTGGTTGGCATGCAGTTTCATAAACTGAGAATTACAGAAGTCTGCCTATGAATGCGAAATGAATAAAAGTTATCCATTACCTCAACAGTAAAACATGCTGGGAGATATGAGTGGTTAAACTAAGGGGATGGGTACAGAGCTATTATTACTATTATAATTGAATTGCTCTTCCACCCACAATTCTTACTCCACTAAACATTATTAGGCCACTAAGCGGGATAAGGCTGGGAAGGTAGGAGCATGGAGTTTGAACCAGCATCTCCAAATGCAGTACGTCCTTGTCAAGACAAGCTCACATCCAGGACCATCTGTCTCAAGGCTCTAATGCAGGGGTAGGTAAAGGTAAAGGTAAAGGGACCCCTGACTATTAGGTCCAGTCGTGGCCGACTCTGGGGTTGTGGTGCTCATCTTGCTTTATTGGCCGAGGGAGCCGGCGTACAGCTTCCGGGTCATGCGGCCAGCATGACTAAGCCACTTCTGGCGAACCAGAGCCGCGCACGGAAACGCCGTTTACCTTCCCGCCGGAGCAGTACCTATTTATCTACTTGCACTTTGACGTGCTTTCGAACTGCTAGGTTGGCAGGAGCAGGGACCGAGCAACGGGAGCTCAGCCCGTCGCGGGTATTCGAACTGCCGACCTTCTGATCGGCAAGTCCTACGCTCTGTGGTTTAACCCACAGCGCCACCCGCGTCCCTAGAATGCAGGGGTAGACAGCCTCAAATGTGGTCCTCCAGTATTTGGCCCTCAGGATTCTCCACTCCAGCTGTTTTCCACACCTTCCCTTTGAGTGCTTTTGCTGGCCTGCAAAGAGTCCTTGAATTGCAACTCTCCCTCTTGCTTGCTTGCATGAGAGAGAAGACTGTGTGTTGAAACCTCTGGCTTTTGCGGGGCTGAAATGCAACCTACTGTATGGAGGTGAAAGTCACATCCATGGCTCCACCCACTCATTTATGGCCATGCTTCTTCTTTAGCGATCACTCATATCTGAGTAAGATTGTCTTCCATGGTCTTAACAGTGACTGCGGAGGCCAATTCTGGATCCGCACATCCTTCCACAGTGGGGACATAGGTTTCTGGACAGGAGTTGGTCATAGTGACAGTTTGCCAAATGTGCCTTCTCTTAGCTTGTTTCTCCCTTTCGTCCTGAGTTCATGCTTCTTCCAAGTCCATGACACCTTTGGTAGGAGCTGTTCTCCAATTGGAACGCTTGCAGGTCAGTGTTTCCCAGTTGTCAGTGTTTATGCTACATTTTTAAAGGTTTTCTTGAGAGCATCTTTAAATCTCTTTTGTGGTCCACCAGCATTACACTTTCCATTCTTAAGTTGAGAATAGAGTAATTGCTTTGGAAGACAATAATCAGGCATCCGAACAACGTGACCAGTCCAACAAAGTTGATGTTGAAGAATCATTGCTTCCACACTGGTGCTCTTTGCTTCTTCCAGTACACTGATATTAGTTCGCCTGTCTTCCCAAGTGATGTTAAAAATTATCGGAGACACCGTGGATGGACTCTTTCAAGGGGCTGGAGTTGGCATTTATGAGTGGTCCATGTTTCACAGTGAAGTTGGTGGTACAGTAGCTTTGTAAATAAGCATTTTGGTTTCCTTGCAAATGTCCGGTCCTCAAACACTCTACACTTCAAACGGGAGAAAACTGCACTTGCAGAGCTCAGGTGATGCTGGATTTCGGCAGCAATGGCAGCCCTTGTGGAAAGAGAACTGCCTCTCCCTTAGGCTGGAAAGGGTTTCTAATTTCAGTTGACCAGGGAGAGGCACCATCCCCCAAGATGATGACATCCCACTCAAGCTTGCAAGCTTCTAACAGCCTTTTATTTTAATGCCATCACTTATTAGCTTTTTATTTTATTTTTATAGGTTTGCTTTCAACCTTTTATACTGTGAATTTAAAGTTATGTTTTTATGTGGTGTGAGCTGCATTGAAAATTCAGGACAAAGGCAAGCACAGCCTGGACAGCTCAGCTGGTTAGAGCACTGTGTTGGTAATGCCAAGGTTGCAGGTTTGATCCCCCGTTTGGGACTACTACATATTCCTGCATCGCATGGGGCTGGACTACAGGGGTCAGCAAACTTTTTCAGCAGGTCCACTGTCCCTCAGACCTTGTGGGGGGCCGGACTATATTTTGAAAGAAAGAAAGAATGATTTCCTATGTCCCACAAATAACCCCGAGATGCATTTTAAATAAAAGGACATATTCTACTCATGTAAAAACACCAGGCAGGCCCCACAAATAACCCTGAGATGCATTTTACTCATGTAAAAACATGCTGATTCTGGACCATCCACAGGCCAGATTTAGAAGGCAATTGGGCCTTAGTTTCTCTACCCATGTTCTAGATCGGGGTAGGCAACCTAAGGCCCATGGGCCACAAGTGGCCCACGGGGGTCATTTATCTGGGGGTCGTTTAAGTGAGTCCCCGTGAGCGGCACTAAATCGCCGCAGCGCAGCACGAGGACTCGCTTCCGTGGGGCCGGAAATTGCATCTGCACAGACACAAACACAAAAAATAATGTCCGTGCAGACACAGACGCTGGAAATCCAGCCCACAGAGGGGTCTCCACTGGAGTGAACTGCCCAGGTGAGGTAAACCTTGCAGACCCCTGGACTAGATGATCCTAAGGGTCCCTTCCACCTCTACAATCTATAATTCTCAGTAAGGCAGGGACATGATAGATGTGTGTATTACTACAAATGGCATGGAGACAGCAATTTAAGAGAATCCCCACCCCCAGTAATGTTAGAACTCTTGCTTTATCTTTTTTTGTAAACTGCTTTAAGGTCTGTTTATTTAGAAGTAGTGTGTAATTTTAATGAAATAAATAAATCTGACAGTAAGAGCTATTCATCAGCAGAGCAGAGTTCCTTGGAGGTGGTGGGTTATCCTTGGTTGTTTTTAACCAGCATTTTGGGTGGCCATCTGTCTGGGATTCTTTAGCTGAGATTCGTGTATTGCAGGGGGTTGGGTTAGATGACCCTTGGGTGTCCCAACCCTATGATTCTATGAAATAAATCAATCCAATGAAGCTGAATGGTAGAAAATTCAGGATGCGCTAGAGCACAGTTACACTGTTCTGCCTCGGGATGATGCAGTGATAGCCATTAACTTGGTGACTGTATTTCATGTATTGTTTTATTTATTTTTTCAGTTTTTTACACCATCCTTCTCCCAAAGGAGCCCAGGGGAGTAAGGCAAATTTAGGATGCATATTGCTATCAGTTGTTATCATGGCTATGCAGTGGCGTAGCGTGGGTTGTCAGCACCCGGGGCAAGGCAAGTAATTTGCGCCCCCTAACCCGTGGAGCCAGGTAGGGGCAGAGAGCTGCGAGTGCGAGCACCCCCCCCAGATGTTGCGCCCGGTGCGGCCGGCCCTCCCTGCACCCCCCACGCTACGCCACTGCGGCTATGTTCTGCCTCCACTGTTGGAGACAGCTTACCTCCAAACACATCACTGCCCCTCCCCAGTCATCTCTTTACATTTATTTATGCATTCCGTGCATAAATAAAATCACCCAGCGGCAACTTTGCCCATTTTTTTGCTTTGGCATTTTCTCTAGGAAAAAAAAAATAAATAAAAATGCTTCAACCTGGAAGTTGTCTTTCACAGAGCTTCCCCTCAGAGGACTCCCAAGTTTCCTGAAGGTTCTTCCACTGTTTACACACAGAACACACACTCTGTTAATTATACCCAAGAGTGCAGTTTATTTCAAAATTCATTTCAGAAGAGGAAGAAGAAGAAGGATCAGAGCAAGGGGTGGGAGGTGGGAGAGAGAAGCGGCTTCACCAAAATTAAAAACAAAACAAAACAAAAATGTGGATTCTTACACAATCAGAAACCTCTGCACAAAAGTGGGGATTGTATGTATGTATGTATGTATGTATATATATATGTGTGTGTGTACTCATACACACACACACACATATATATAGGAAGATCCTAAGAGGGTAAACAAACAAACTCCAAGACAAACCAATGAGGACAGAGCATGCTCAATGGGCAGGGAATGCTACGCTGACTATTGGAGGAGGGAAAGTAGGAAAGTACTTCTTACCCACAATCCTGACCTCTGCATCACTTGGCACCGAATCTCGCCTACCTGTAATACAACTGCTTCCAATTTAGTAATCACACGTAAATCTAATTAACAGACTGTTTACCCCTTCAGAACAGCTTGTTAATGAATCTGATAAATCAGAGAGGCAAAGGAATCCTAGGACATGATTTGCAGCTGTTTGAGACTCCGCTCCGCAGTGACCCAGGACAAGAAGCCAATGAATGCCACCCTATGAAGATGTAAACCCCCTATATTCAGCCCAGAAGAACCACCATTTTTGCCTTTAAAACAACAACAAGGCAATAATATTACCGTACCTCCCTCATCCGGCACAAGTGTGGAAAATTCCATACAATAAATCCAGCGTCGCACCGAAGATCTTTCCAGCAGATTGTGGTCTAATAATAAGTCTCTCAAGATCTATCAGAAATCAACTGTAAATGGCATTTGGCTTTAGCGAGATGCGGTTGTAGTTAGTTGTGGGGCAAGAAAAGCCCGTTCAGTGAACTGACCAAATTCTCACCTCTGGAAGGAATAGATGAATCGGAACGTAATTATCCTCCGGCACTTCTCCGAATTTACAATAACAGTTTCCTGGCTCAAAAAACAACAACAAATAAATCCCAAAATGCTTTTTTCAAAAAGTTACACATTGATCAAATACATTTAGAACTACGTATGTACATTGCCATAGAGATAACACCACCCCTACATTTAACATTTAATTATTTATTATTACTCGTTAGCCCCTTGACACAAATCTCCACATAAAAGATGGCATAAGATTTGGGGAGCAGGGGAAGACAGCGCATGGTATATATGATACGTGACTATTTTGTGATAAAATGCACTATTATTATTTTAAATTGAAGTTAGAAGAGAAAAACAGAACACTTTTTTTTAAAAAAATGAACACAGGTGCACCAGGAAGAGAGTGGAACTATCCGTCCCTAGCACTTAAACATGACAACACTAATCAAGGGCCTAGCTTTGAAAAACAGGCAAAAAGATCTGCAGCTGGTTCATATTAGGACAGCCAGGATTTTGATTGGAGCTTGTCCCTTTTGCTGCATTACTCCACTATGATAACTTCAATGGCTTCCAGTTCATTTTTTGGAAACCACAGAGGATGCTGCTTTGGACTGATAAACAATTGCTCAAACATTGGGCAAACCATTCCTGCATTGCAGGGAGTTGCACCAGATGATCCTCGTTGTTCCCTTCCATCCCTACAATTCTATGACTCGAAGTGATCCACAAGTGCTCTCAGGAATTCAGTGAAAGAGTCTGAAGCTAGGACCTCCTGCATCCAAGTGCTCGAACTTCTGAAAAAAGTGCAGCAACTTCAGAGGTGTTCAGAGGCGCTCCAAGCTCAGCAGCTGTGCAGGAAGTGAGACATCTCACTGCTCAGAGGCTGGAGGCCGTGTCAGGATGATAGCCACCCTCCTCCATGCTCTGGTTGTGTTGTCAATGTGGCTGGTGTCTCCCCTGTCCGGAAGATGGTGGACGTCATCTTACGTATAGTGGACGCTCGGGTTGCGAACATGATCCATGCAGGATGCACGTTCGCAACCCACAGCATTCGCAACCTGCATCTGCGCACACGCGGGTTGCGGTTTGGTGCTTCTGCGCATGCGCGACCGCCAAAATCCGGAAGTAACCCGTTCCAGTACTTCCAGGTTTTGGTGGTCCGTAACCCAAAAAAACGCAACCTGAAGCGTCTGTAACCCAAGGTATGACTGTACAAGGAAATAGAGGCTACAACATTTGCAGCTTAGGCAGGAAGCTTACACACAGAGAGACAAAGTTACAGGATGGAGTTTAAATGCTTCTCTTTTGGAGCGGGGGTGTCTGTGTACGTTTGTTCTGCATTGTTAACATTTGCTGGCAACTTTCCCCCAAGGATTAGTGTGTAGCTGGGCCATCGCCACCCCGCAGCAAACAGGCACACATAGCTGCAAACAGAGTGCCAACCTCCCACATTTCGAAGCGGGGCTTTCCCCCCCTGACCCAAAGAAGCAGTTAAGCATCTTTAAATGTCCAATTAAAATGGTTATTATGATCGTTACAGCCGCATCTAGAGGCCCCAAGCCAAAATCAGGGAACGGCTGCACAGTGACAGCGCAGGCTAAGAAGAAAACAACTCTTTGTACTACTGATCAGAGGCTGGAGAGGAGCCACGTAAGGAAGTGGCCGAGAGGCAATTAAAACCTTTCCTTGGAATGGAAGGAGGCTGAGGGGTGGAATTTGCAGATTCTTCCAGATGAGAGGTTGGGGAGCTTTTTGCCACCTGAAGGTTCCTTCCCTTGGGGGGGGGGGCTCCATGTCCAAAGCAGAAAGAGCTAGAGGCAAAAGTGGGTGAGTATTGGATGCAATTCTTACCTCGTTTGCAAAGATCAGGCAAGTGAGGGGCATTATCACAGTTAAAGGACACAGCTAGAGAGATCTGGGGGGTTACATTCACCACCTGCTGCAACCTAAGTTTCTGAAGTCCTGTTCTAGAGCCAGCAAAAAATACCAAAGCGAGCAAATTAGTGTGCCTATTGCTTTGCTCTTCAGCACCACAAAACACTCCTTCCTTTCACCAGGAAGAGCCAAGACAGGAACAGACCAGGACTCTGTCTGAGATGCTCCTAAGACGACAAATCAAAAGAAGTAGTTCCAATGCAACCATTCTCTCCTTCACTGGAGGTTTTTAAGCAGAGGTTGGGGTGCTTTGGTTTAAATTCCCGCATAGCAGGGAGTTGGACTTCCAACTCTACAATTCCGTGAGCCAATCCAGCTCCCCTACACTACATTTCTGACATGTTAGCTTCATTCAGCAGTGGAACGGAGCCGGTGCTGGGGAAGATGGGACTATTCTTATGTCCAAGGTGGAGGGAGAAGAAAAGTCCTCACAGTGGCAGTGAAGCCATGGAAACCCAGATACTACCTTCAACCCAACCTTCTCAGGTTGAGAAGGGTGGAGCAATCAACAATTAGGGTCCTATTGCAGGAAGTCTTCAAGCAAAGGTGTGAAGTTAGCAGCCCTTTCCTGATTGTGACCCTCAGCAACTGGTGTTCATAGGCTTACCTGTGGCAGGTAATCTTCATTCCCTGAGTTCTACACCATGTACAGAGGCAGAATTCTTTTTAGGAAACATATATTGAAGTCATAAAATCCTAAGAGTTGGAAGGTACCCCCCCAAGAGTCATCTAGTTAGGTAAAGGTAAGGTAAAGGACCCCTGGATGGTTAAGTCCAGTCAAAGGTGACTATGGGGTTGTGGCGCTCATCTCGCTTTTCAGGCCAAGGGAGCTGGAGTTTGTCCACAGATAGCTTTCCACAGATAGCTTTGTCCACAGATAGCTTTCCAGACTAGCATGACTCAACCACTTCTGGCACAACAGGACACCATGAGAGAAACCAGAGCACACGGAAACGCCATTTACCTTCCCGCAGTAGCGGTACCTATTTATCTACTTGCACTGGTGTGCTTTCAAACTTCTAGGTTGGCAGGAGCTGGGACAGAGCAACAGGAGCTCATTCCGTAGCTGGGATTTGAACCACCAATCTTCTGATCGGCAAGCCCAAGAGGCTCAGTGAACCCCTGACATGATGGCAGATGTCACCTTCCACAGGTGAAGCGTACAGAAACAAAAGAGCTTCAACATTGTGGAAAAAGAAAGAGCCACGAAGTGGAATGCCCTCAATCATTTCCCCAAAAATATTATTAAGGAAGGGAGGAGACATTTCAATTTGCGTCCCTACTCCAGGCCTGCAACATTTTGTCACAGGTCCCACTTGTACAAATGCATTGCCTCCGAACAGGAGGTTAAGCCTTCCTACAATCATACCTGTCCCTGAAAGGGTTGGAGTTGCAGTCCCTACTCTGTACTGTCATCTGCCTTTGTTTACATTCAACAACCATAAGGGAGCTGTTTCATGAATGTGTATTCTCCATATTAAAGGTAGCTCAGATCTAGACTTAAGGAGGTACATTCCAAAAGGTGTGTGGGGGGGGGGAGTTGATCAAATCATTGACAGAACTGTTCTCCAGATCTTGTGCTTGGCAAGGAAACACAACATGTCAAAGAGGCAGCTGGCATGAAAGGCATCTTTTCCTGTATTCCTCCCCCCTCCCCCACCACTCCTCGCTTGGAGAGCAAATTAAATTTTCACTCTCTGTTACGAGGCTTCCCAACTGCTGATGACCTTACATGATGGGAGCACTTAGGCACTGAAAACACACACACACTAATCACAGTGAGTTATTGCAACATCCTGCACATGGCCCATTGTCCTATTGTCAGAGCCAATCTGAAGGCTACTCTCACTTTCTTAACCATAGCAATGTAACACCTGGATAGTGGTTTGAAAAGCATTTGGGGCCATACTCCCCCCCCCCCCAAGAAGCCTAACAAGGAGCTGGAGACAGGTGAAGATCGTAGTAATAGTAGTAATAGTAGTAGTAGTAGTAGTAGTAGTAATAGCAGCAGCAACACTCTGAACTTAACTCTTCATTCAAAGAACCAAAACAGCCTAGTGACCACAGCAACTCTTTCCAGGTGGTCCCAATGAGGCAGTTGCAAGGACTGAAGGTCCCTGCCTTGTCACTACTCTCTAAAGCTCCTCCCTTAGTTCCTTCCCCATCAGCCTAAGGCTCCTTCATCTTGTCTCTTTTTGCTCTACCCTCTTCACTTCTCTGTGTGTTCCAGGAGACCAGGGAGAAGGGAAGCAGCTCGCAGCAGGAGGCAGAGGCTCCCTAGATTCTTCAGCAGCCTTCCTCCTCTTGGTCTCCTTTGCTCCCCTCCTCTCCAGCCTCTGAACCAGGACTGCTCTCTGCCCCTTCTTCTTCCTGCTCACTAAACCCTGTTGCCTCCTCCGCTTCCATCCTCCTCCTCCCAATCTTCTCCATCTTCTCCCTCTGACCACTCATCATCATCCCAACACCACTCCCTGGGCTCTAAGCCTTCTTCCCTTGGGGTTCCCCAGTTGGTGCCTCCAACCAATCCTCTGCACCCCACCAGCCCATGACACTCTTTCAGACTCATCCAAAAGCAGGTTCAACCACATTCACGAAGGTGCCATATATCAAACTGGACCATGAGTCCATCTAGCTCCATTGACTGGAAGGCGCTCGCCAGGATTTCAGATGGGGCTTTCCCAGCTTGACCTAGAGATGCCAGAGTTTGAACCTGGAACCTGCTGCGGGCAAAGCACACCCTCCAGCACATAGCTGTGACACTCACAAAACTAAAGTAAAATTCCACTCCTTGAGATCCTCCTAAAAGAATCTATCCCTGAAACAGGAAATAATTTTATGCTAAGCCAGACCACTGGTCTTCCTAGCTCAGTATTGTCAATAGGGACTGATAGGGCTCGAATCCTGAACAGCAATTGTTTGGGGATTGAGCCTGGCGCCTTCTGCATGTAACATATGCAACTGAGCTATGGATCGTCTCCGATGGCGGGGGCATATTTCTGTCTTTACATCAAAGTCCTGATCCACAGAACCTTGCCTCCAAGCTGTAGAAACCTTTCCCAACCCAATACCCTGGTCAGAAGAATGGACAGGTTGCTGAGGATTTGGGATGTGGCATCTACAAT